GAGCATCTTAAAGGCAGCAAGCGAAAACAAAAACAAAACAAAACAACAACAACAACAAAAACCGGTTACCTACAAAGGAGTTCCCATAAGGCTGACACCTGATTTCTCATCTAAAACTCTACAGGCCGGAAGGGAATGGCACTAATGATTAAATGTAATGGGAAGCAAGGATCTGAGACCAAGATTACTATATCCAGCAAGGCTATCATTCAAATAGACAGTCAAATAAAGAGCTTCACCACCCAGGTTATGTTGAGAGAGAAAGGAAGAAAGAAAGAAAGAAAGAAAGAAAGAAAGAAAGAAAGAAAGAAAGAAAGAAAGAAAGAAAGAAAGAAAGAAAGAAAGAGAGAAACATCAATGTGAGAAACATTGATTGGTTATCTCCAGTACGCAACTGGACTGGGGATCAAATCCACAACCTTTTGGTGTATGGGATGACACTCCAAACAATTGAGCTACCCAACCAATACATGGCAATATTTTTCCTAATGAGTTTAATTCATCTTTAGAGTTGGATTTCCCCAGACCTGTTTGTTTGTTTTGTTTTGTTTTTACCCTGGGGACTCATAGGGTAAAATGTAGAATATTAATGACCTTCCTCAATGGTTTCCCCAATTCATGGGCCACCATCCTGTTTTACAATGACAGGAAAATATTTTTTAATAATGTAATTGTGCAGTTGAATTTTCTCAGCCTTTTAAGTTTATATTCATGAGAGTATCTGCCCTGTGTTTCTCAGGTTTATTCATGAGCACATTCCATCATTTTATTTTAATCTTAACTGCTTTTATTAACACTAACACATTTGGACTTTCAATGGGCTTTCTTTCCTCCTTACTGAAAATGGCATTTTGGAAACTTCTTTTAGTTATGCATTTTACTCTTCTATAGTTTCCAATAAGAAAACTAAAAAGATTGAGAACTAAGCTGAAGCCATGGTCATACCAGATAGAAGTCTGATAATTGTACTCCACATTGGCAATTTGTGATTATTATAGACATTTTGGAAAAAGAAAAATGTCAAAACAAAATTACCCACAATTTCACCATGCATTAGTAATCTCTGTGAACAATTTTATGTATTTCCTTACAATCATTTCTATCATTTATAACATAAATGAGGTTAATTGTATATATAATTAGATATTCTTTCACTCTTTATTTAATACATTTAAATTTTAAGAACTCTATATTTCAAGTATAGAAACATTGAGAAGACAGAAAGGGAAAAAGTAAAATATAACCAACCTTTTTTTTCTATTTTATAAATAATTACATGATTGCAATGCCTGGGTGAGCTCTCAATTTACTGGTTCTCCATAATTCACCTAGCCATTTCCTCATTGCTGAACATCCAGTTTGTTCCCATGTTTTCTATTTTAAATAGCACTGATAGACCAGGAAACTATCAATATTTTAGAATATCCTTCCCAATTTGGAAAAAAAAATAGATCCAAAGAACATGAAATCTTTTAAGGCTTTTGATAAATTTTCTCAAAAATATTGCCCAAATTACCACTTCCAGCAATAGGATATGAGTATCTGTTTGACCATAACCTCTGAACATCATCTTAACCTTGATTAGCCAATAAACAGATTCTTTTGGTTTCTCATCATATTACTCCCATCATGTGTCAATAAGCAGCAGTGATCTGAGCCAACTGAATTTTATAAGGATGATTAGAAACCATTGCTTGACTCTCAAGTCTGTTCTGCTATCAGATAAAAATGTTGAAAGGGAACTGAGATGATTGAATGTTTTTATGATCAATGTCCCCTTTCCCTAAATTTAGATTACATTCACTCTATCACTGTCTATTGGGGAATGAAGTTGAAGTTACTGACTCTAATAAAAAAGGAGTAGGAGTCTATTTTATACTTCCATATTAAATACTGATAGATTGAGAAAAGCATTTTGGGGTCTAAATTATCTAGACCATTACTTTAACTTTACTCTCCTTTTGACTTGCGATGAGTCAGTCTAGCTGTGAATAAATAGTACCTTCCCACTGCCTTTCTCTTATTGACAATAGTAGCCTAGCCTTGCTTTTGCTAAGACAGTGGAATATTCCCATACATCCTAAGCATGAATAAAACATCTTTGACGAACCTAACTTACTTGCAACTCTCATTCAACAATAGCCTTATCAGCATTTCTTGTTGAAAACTGGTCTCAACTTTTATACTTACAGCTTTAAAAGGACTAAAAGTTGAAAATGTAAAACTTTATATTTAAAAACTATAAAAGTACCCAATAATTTTTATCAATGGCTTGTATTTTCCAATTTAATTATCTACAATTTAGTTTTTGCTATCAATGCAGGACTTAGACACCTACCTAAGGAAGAGATCATACCGAATATCATCATTTGGGTTCCCTGATGGGGTTGTGTAGCAATAATCCATTAAGACATTCCATCTGCAGGAAGAGGCAAACATAATCTAGAATCACAACTCCTTTTGGGTATTAGTTACTAATCTAGGGCAAGTAAATATTGACAACTGTCTTACTCCATGAAACATAGTTTTTTATTAGTTATTTGCAGGAGATTCTTATTGATTAAGACATTCCCCTAAACTCAAAGGTGTTTTAAAATCTGTAATAAGTTGCCATCCTACATCAAATGAATATGTGTACAAGGCAACTGAATGGTCAAAGCCTGAGGAAACAAAACCCAAAAGTGAGCTGCATAGATGCTTCTACATTCACTGTGAACAATGGTCGTTTGTTTCTAGAAGTTACTGTCTCTAACAAATGACAAGAATATTATAACACCACATACAGCAAAGGAGTTTGGTGTGTGAATCACACGCTTTACATTATTCCAGAATCAGTAGTGGTGGGAGTGGGAATATATATATATATAT